CTGGAAATATGGCTGTTGAAAAACAAGCAGGAGTTCTCTTCTTTTCCCATTTTCCCTACCAAGTATTCTCCGCTCTTCTTCCTGCACCCCGTTCCCAGTAGGGTTCCCTGTCACCCTTAGGGGTGCTACACACATCCTCGGGGAGGACTCCCCATACTTCTGTTTCTGATTCACTGAGCGTGGAAGAGCTACCTCAGATCTGCCCCTGGCTTCTGCTTTCCCTCAATCCTTATGAAGAACCAACCTTCCTACCACCGGCAAAACCCACACCTCCTCCTTGCTACATCATCTGCTGTTCCTGCGGCCGTTCTTGTCCTTCCACCCCAGGCAGAGCAGAACAGAGCAGTCAGCACATCAGCCCCCAGCTCTTCCTGCAGGGAACGGCTCCCCACGCACGGCACGGGGAGGAGGAGCACGGTCAGCTCCTTGTCGAGGAGCACAGCACTCCCTTCCCAAGGCTGGAGCAACACTTGATCGCTGTTCCAATTGTTCATACTGCAACCAGTAATCTGGGGCACTTTAACAAAAGCTGGTTGTTAAACCCTAGTCCCTTGCAAACTTCCAAGGATGGAGACGCCCCCGTTTCTCTGATGTCTTGTTCCAGTACTGTACAACCTTCCCAGCAAAACAGTACTCTTCGAGTTTCCGGATGTCCCGAACTGAACCTTCCAACCTGCAATTTGTGGTTGCTGCCCTTTGATATACCATCTCCAACTACCAGGAAAAAAAATTGGCTTTGTCATCTTTGCAACTGCCCTTGAAGTAGTTGTAGGCTACAATTAGATCCTGCCTTAGTCTGCTCCATGCCAGACTATACCCGCCCAGCTCCACCAGCCTCTCCTTGTAGGCTGTATGCTCCATGCCTCTGGCTGCCTCAGCAGCTTTCTGATGGACCCTCTCCAGATTCTTCCATGTCCTTCTTGGACTTGGGGAGGGTGGGGGGCCAGACAGTACCCAGAACTGAACACACTATTCCAGGTGCAGCCTCACCAGTGCCAAGTAAATACGGATAATAACTTCCCTCCATCTGCTGGCCTCGCTCCTCCCAGTACATCTCCCAGCATAGGATGTGATTTGCCTTTCTTGTGAGGAGAACACAAACCACGTGGGGCTGACATTCGATTTGGCACCTGCTGTAACCCCCAGGGCCCATTGAGCAGGGCTGCCCCTCTGCCCGTCGCCTCCCAGTCTGCACAGAGACCTGCGGTGGCTCCAGCCGGGTGCCAAGCTCTGCAGCTCTCTGGGCTGACCTCCGAGAGGTTTCTTCTAGCCCCCTCCTCTCATCTGTTGAGGTCCCTTGGGTTTGAAGCATTTGGAATGTCAGCCACTCCCTGTAACTTAATATCACCCCGTGCAACAATTTAAAAATGACAAAACACGAGTGATATTTTAATTCCTTTGGCCACAGAGGAATTTTAACGCTGTTACTTGGCTTCTGGCCGCATTTTTCCCAGTTCTTGTTTGCTCCCATTCGGCCCACGGTCTCACCGAGCTGCAGTCCTGCCATCAGCCTCCTCTTGACTGGCAGCAGCACCGGGAGAAGGATCCTGTGACAAGAAGTGCCAGCCTCTGGTGTTCTCCCTGTGCCCAGCACACAGGATAATGGGACCGGCCCCTAGAGCTCCTTTGCATCAAAGGCAGAGGATACTAGTACATCTAGTTCCCTTTTTCGGGTAACTAGTTCTCCATCTTCAATACTTACAGGTTGCTAAACTGGTCTGTGCATCAAAAGCTGAATGCTACTGGGGTTATTCCTGCTCTTTCTTTCTTTCTCTCTCTCTTTCCTCCCCCAGCAAAGAATTCTCTGTAGCACGGCCCTAGCAGTGCGTGTGTTGCACGATGCTGCTGGGGTTATTCCTACTCTTTCTTTCTTTCTCTCTTTCCTCCCCCAGCAAAGAATCCTCTTTAGCACGGCCCTAGCAGTGCGTGTGTTGCACGGCAGCAGGCAGTGGACAAAGAGGTGGTGTGGCGCTGCGTCAGCTGCAGATAAGCCGTGGACCTAAGCCAGGGCTATTGAAACGTGTAAGAGGCTTTGGACATTACATCACGCCCAAGTTAACTTTTGACTTAATTAAGGACTGGGTAGCTGGCTCTGCCATCGGGAGCGTGCCGAAGCGAGGGAGCTGGGCCCACTGACGGCGGTGGGACAACCTGTGGACTTCAACCCTACCTACCCCGTGGAGTAACACTGGGCTCCTGGATCCGTTTTGCCGGTGGTGGCTCCTAAATCAGACTTGTTGCTTAAAGTTTCCCAATGCTGCCACCTACAGAACAGGTTAACTACAGCTCTCAAAAAAAAAAGCAAAGAAAACTGTTAAGAAAAGGATAGATTGTGCACAGTCAGCTGGGGATATGGTTCTAAATTAGCAGTGTGCAGGTCTAAACAGAGAAGCCTGGAATCCTACCTGAGGTTCTTCAATATTTTTCAAATATTTCCAGGAATAGCTGTATATATTAACTGCTAAAAGTCCAGCTCTGGAAAGCTGCACAAAAACCACAGAATCAGAACTGTCGAGGTTGGAAGGGACCTTTAAGATCATCTAGTCCAAACATCAACCTAACTCTGATAAAAACAATCACTAAACCACGTCTCTAAGCACTATGTCTACCCCTCTTTTAAATCACAGAGCAGTTTGGGTGGGAAGGGACCTTTAGAGGTCATCTGGTGCAGCCTCCCCTGCAGCGAGCAATCTTCAACTAGATCACTTTGCTCAGAGCCCCGTCCAACCGGACCTTGAATGTTTCCAGGGATGGAGCATCCACCACCTCTCTGGGTAACCAGTGTTTCACCATCCTTATTGTATAAGTTTCTTCCTAATACCCAGTCTAAATCTACCCTCTTTTAGTTTAAGGCCATTACCCCTTGTCCTATTGCAACAAGCCCTGCTAAAAAGTCTGTCCCCATCTTTCCTGTTGGCCACCTTTGGGTACTGGAAGGGGCTATGCGAAGGGGCCTTATCTTCTCCAGGCTGAACAACCCCAACTCTCTCAGCCTGTCCTCATAGGAGAGGTGTTTCAGCCCTCTCATCGTTTTTGTGGCCCTTCTCTGGACCCACTCTAAAGGGCAGGAACCCGTTAATTCAAATTAAACAATTTGCTCAATAGACTCCACACGTACCTGGAAGAGCAGCAGTGGCAAACAGCCGGTCACAGGTGTCTCTTAGAGCGGGCATAAAACACAAAACAGGATTCACAAGCTCCTGCCCTTCTCAGTAATGGCCACAGTGGAAATTCAGGGGGAAATTCAGGAACAACACGTAGGGGTTTAGATAAGAGATGGAGAGGGTCAAAAGAGCTAATTAAATTAAGGCGGATGCGTGGGAAATCAAGGAAAGATAACAGTTCAAAGGTAACAAAAGCAAAACCCGGAATATTTGACTGCTGCAATCACTATAAAAAAATAGGGGTATTTCAAAGGCACGTTTATATTGCTTCAGCACTGATGCTGTACCTGCAGACAGCAGTTACCCTCAGCAGTGCCCTTACAGGCACGGAAGGGGTCCCTTGGAGAATGAGAGCACACTCCCCCAGGTGCAGCACCCGGCTGGCTGGGCTCTGCTCTCTCTCCCACCTCCTCCTCCTACCCGGTCTGATTTTCATGGCTCCTTCCATCCTCCCCTGCTCACGCCACTCGTTTCCCCTCCCTCAGGCTGGGTTGCTAAGCAGCCCCGGCCGCAGGCAGGGCTCCCAGCCTGCGCTGGCACAGGAGGCTGCAGCAGAGAAGCCCCGGGAGGTCTCCCTCTGCCCAGCCACAACCACCAACTGGCAGCCTGAGGTGGAACCTCACAGTCCTCTCCTCGGGGGACAGTCTCAGAAAGAGACTGATGCTGAGAATTGAATGACACTGAGCTTTAGCTAATCCCCAGAATTTGAATTAAGATGTGCTGCGACCCCCAGCTAGCTTCAGCTCTCAGGTAATTATCTGAGCAGTAGCAAGGCCCAATACCCAACACCTTCAGACCACACGTGGCTTTAATCACAGCTTGTAGTTTTAAATTACTCTTCACCAAAAAAAAAAAGCACCTGGAAGCCAGGGAACAGTTTGCACCAGCAACCACCTAAGAGCATAGGCTACCCAGCACTACACACCATGGGGAGCAGGCAGATTAGGACATCATGCACTAGAAGAAGGGCCTGAGTTGAAGGGTGTTTTATCCTTTCTTACAGCTCCTGAGGCATCAGCAAGAAGTTGCAGATAAACAGCAGTCAGACCCAGTTAAGAAGTTTCCACAGAAGGTCACAGAGTTGAGGTGAGGAGTATGTAATAGGCCTGAGTTGAAGAGTGTTTTATCCTTTCTTACAGCTCCTGAGGCATCAGCAAGAAGTTGCAGATAAACAGCAGTCAGACCCAGTTAAGAAGTTTCCACAGAAGGTCACAGAGTTGAGGTGAGGAGTATGTAATATATATTTAGTATCTATCTTCTCCTCCAACCCAGAGTTTCATCCCACTGTTAAACACTCATGTAGTTTTCTCCTTATTTAGGAAATTTTGGAAGGGAGAGGTAGTAGAGCCTCTTTCCAGGCCTTTTTAACACAATCACAAGTTGGTAAGCACACACTAGCCAAGGATCATGTTCAGCATTAACCAGCAGATTTCTTTTAACCACAGGTAGGGAAAAACCTGTTTTAATGCTGTCCTCCCTAAGGAAACAGTCCCTATTCCATTGCTTGTAGCATTAATACAAATACAGAAGCAAGCAGCTTCAAGTTAACATTTGAGTGTTTATCACACCTTAAGCCTCTAACTAAAATAAATGCATTCAGGGTGGCCAACTGCAGCGTAAATTTCAGACTGGACATGGGAAAAGCTTTAGAAGAAGGGCACTAAAGCACTGGGACATATTACACAGACAGGGGTGCATCTCTGCATCCTTGGAGACCTTTGGGACACTAGAAAAAAAATACTAACTTCTACTCAGAGGAGAACTTTGAGGGTCCTTTGAAAACGTGGTTTATAGAGGATGCCACACAACTCCTTTCAGAGAAAACTTAGTGATCACTTTAGTCTTAGTCTTCCAGCAGAACATTTTATTCTCATTAAAGACAAGGAAATATCAACCAACAGCTCAATTAACATGTTACAGATTAAACAAGCCCCGTTAAGCATTTTCTACTTAACATGTGAAAAAAGAGTCTAAAGACATCTGATGTGTCCAAACTGTTCACATTAAAACTTGAGCTCATCCTTTAGCACAAGCTCAGCTGATGTTGCTCCTGTGTATAGCAAGAGGTGGAAACGATTTAAGTTACCAGAACAGCTGTGTTTAACAAGTACTGAAGCACTGGAGTTTAGACTGCATATACTGGTGTGCTATTAGACTGTTTTCCTTGCATCTCTTCAGAGCCTCAGGCCGACTTGCAGAAAGCCACAGCAGAGAAACGAACCTCTCCCTTTTCACGTTCTGTGAATTGTCTGCAAATCTTAGCAGAATCCTTGGAAGGAGGAAAAAAAAAATAAGCTGTTTAGACTATCAGAAAACAATTGCTTTAGAAACCATGTCTTTGCAGCTCCTCTCTGGGTGCCACCAACTAAGTGACAAGGTCTTACAGTACCAGCTAATACCTGCAAAGTGTATTTATCTAGCTCTGTGGCACAGTACTACCTCGTTACCATGGTATAAACAGCACCAAGCTGTACAGCCCCTATACACCGAATGCACGCCTCTCACCCTCTTACAAGCCTTGTTTTGGGGGAAAACAAGCAGCAAAGGAGAGGTCTTACCTTCAATAGCAAGTCATCCGAGCTTGTGCCATGATTTACAGGGAATGGCATGAGCCCATCTGTGAAAGAAAGCCCCATCAGTGAGAGCAGAGCCTCAGTGAGCTCACCCAGCCTGAGCCCCACCACTGCTGGGCAGTGTCACCTTGGCCCAGTCCAACCTGTTCCTTACCCAGTTCATACAGATGTCCATCCACGTTGACGAACAGGATGAAGTGGAAGTTCATACTGTTGTCCTCAACCTTAGGAGAGACCATTAGACACATCTGTTAGATTGAAAAAAGCCTAGTGCTGCCAACCCTACTTGTGACTACACGACAGAGGAGATGTAACAAAGCAACAGCAAAAAACTAAAAACTTAAGTTCAGCTGAAGAGGTCTCTAAACACCAGAAATCCTAATGTATCCTCACATTTTTAGGCTGGGTCAGAACCCAAATTTTCAATCCATGTTTGAGGAAGAAACCCTGCACAAGCATTCACCACGAGTCACTCATTTCTCTTTCCTCATGAGCTCTAACAGCCATCTGCCAGACAAAAAAATGGTATTGCTCTACCACCTTCACTGACCCCTTCTTCCAAGATCTTAAACATTCATAGCTTACCCGACATTGTCCTTCTTGTGCAACCGAATTGTGGACTTCTTGTATAGCCTTAAGAGAAAGCAGATACAAGTTACTACAGCCTTAAGCGCCAATAGGTGTCAGCAGTTTCTCTAGATAAAATACCTTGTTATTTGCAAAATGCTTAGCTCTCTCTTCAGGAGACAGATCAGCTGTTTCATCTAGAAACTTCTTCAGGGCAGACCCCTCATCTGCACAAGATAAAGATTTTATTCAGTGTAGGTAAAGCATCAGTTAAGATTTCAGATGCAGCTCGCAATAATCAGTGTTTGTTGCAGTAACTAGGAGCCACTGCATTCAGCCTGGAACCTTCTCCAGCATAAGCATGTAACTACCACTTGAAACAAGCCATTTATCCAGAAGCTATTAACAACAATCTGAACAAACACTGGAGTTCAGGTGTTTCAGGGTACTCGGGGTGCTGGCCTTTGAACTCACTTTCAAATGGGATTTACCTTTTCTGATTCCCACTTTGCAGATTTGGCAGAGGTGTTCAGTCCTGAAGAAATTCAAGAAAGGTGCCAGCAATAACACCACCTAAGTATCAACTAACAGAATATGGGTAGATAAAATTATCTCTGCCTTCAAAGGAACACAGCACTTGCTCATGACAGGCTACTGTTGTTTTCCAGAACATAAGTTCATAGTGAAGTATTAATATGTCCTGAGTTCTAGTCTTACATGATGTGCTGCATCATTGATTTCACTCATCAAGAGTGTGTTATTTCAGAGAATCCCTTCCAGAAGAGTAATGCAAAGCTACTCTCATTTCCATGTGTTTCCCTTTGTGTAAGAAGGAATCCCACACCACCCAAAAGGTTCAATTTCTCTTGGAAGAATGAGCCAAGTTACATTTTGCAGATCTCTAGTTTTGAATAATAGAATACTTCCTGGACTCCAACAACCTTTTTTTGACAATAACTTGTAATTCTATTTCCTAGGAGTTCCCAGCCACCAGTTGCCTATTCCTATTACCTCTGCAGGAAAAGTTTACTAACTCTTAGACTACTTTATCAGCAAAAAGAGAACATGTTTTAGACTGATCTACAGGCAATTCTATTTACATTAGGCAGAAGTGGCACAAATAACTGTCTCTTCAGCAGACATCAACAACTGCAGTGTCAGTAGCTACTCCTGACCATGATACTTCCCAATTACAAACAGACTTTGGCCAGTCCTACTATGTGCCCTTTCCTCCTGCATCATTCACTAGGATGATACCTCTGCACAAAGCACACTCCCTTCTGCAGTTCAGGCAGTAGGTGAGACCATGACAGCTGAAGGACCCACGTACCAACTGAAGCAGTAGAGCACGCCTTAACTTGGCTTGTGTGAAAGCCCCAGGTATCTCCTATAGCTCACATCCACTCAAGCTTTCTCTGTCATAAAAGAAATGGAAATTCAAGCACTTCAGAACATTCATACTCACCAAGCTTCAGTTTGTCTTTATTATTAGCAACCGCATGTATCAGACCAATTGTCCCACAGGAGTTACTGACGGTCTGCTTCAGGAAATACACCTTGGAACTGATTTCTTGGTCCTTTATTTTCTCAGTTTGTTGTTTCCTGAAGTTCTCATGCTGTAAACATGTAACCGTTTTAAGCATTTCATCAGAGTAAGATGTTTTCATTGCGCAAACTACTAGACAAATGAGTTGTGCAGGAGAATCAATACCAGGACTGGACAGAGATTTACCCATCAAGTCATCTTTGTGGCATAAGCCCAGTAAGGCACCGTTATGTCTGTGCTGGATGCAGGCCAAGTCTTAATGGACTACCTGCATGACTCAGACATACCCAAAGGCACTGTTCTGAGCCTCTCCATTTGTTCTGTACGCTGGAAATAGCTTGGGGTGGGAAATCATATAATGGATAGGCCCTTTTATACCCCCTCTCCATTGTTTTGGTCCATTTAATAAGACTACTCAGCATGTCTCTGCAATAGTTTGCCTTTGCACCTTTAGGTTACCTCCCTCCATGAGCCTCTCCCCATCAGAGCCATGTATAGCCAGGCGCAAAATCCATCACCACTGAAAGACTAAAATTATTCCTTTACAGAACCTGTTAAAATATACTTTATTTCAAAGTCCCTCTCCTCATCAACTTCCTTAGCATCAAGTGGAGTAGATGTACTAATCACAGAGAAGCAACTTAGGCCTCTGCAGATGCAGTGATTCAGCACGGCAGATCTGCTGTTCCTTGCACTCAGGACCGCTCGTGGGTTTTTACCCACCTCAGTCTGACACACAGACTAGAGCATGAAGAGCAGCACTGAATTAAGAGGCCTTATTTATTTTTTGCTCGGTTCCATTTTAGCTCAGGCCATTTGGAGGCTGGGGCCAAGCACCCAGCATCTACCAAGCCAAACCCACTCCCAGCCACCTGATGCTCGGAGAAGATGACAGGGGCAGGCTCCTGACAGACGTGGCTGCTGACAACAGCCTGCTTCTCCCTCCAGGGGTGCCTGGGCCAGCCGAAACCCCCGGGTTGCCTGAACCCAGCCCATCCCGCTGTCACCTCCCGGGCTAAGACCCAGAGTCCCTGCAAAGGAGAGGTGCCCAGGAGGGACCCGGCCGCCGCCAT